GAAGTAGCGTGACATTAGTCACATGACCTCGCTCACGCAACAATACTCTTTGATCAAACATTTCTGCCTACCTATTCAATATGCTGTTTTTCAAGTATATAATATTGGATTGTCTTAGCCAATCGTTTATACGAGTTTTGAAATTGTATGACAATTTTAATTTAAACTCACTAAAAAGTGTTATAAACCAATTGCATATTATCGGCCTCCAATTTTACAAAAAGGAGGATAGCTCAGACTTTAGGAAATAAAGACATTATTGTATGTTTGTATCATAACGTTGTATGAATTAATATAAGTTTGTTTGACTGTAGTCGAGTACAAAGCTACACAATGTGCTGTGCCCACCACGAGTATCGAAACCTGGTTTTTAGTGATATAAGCCGATATATTTACCGCTGAGCCACTAAGGGGTGATAATATAAGAAATGCAACATGTCTGAAGTCCTGTATTAATATTTTCTCGGAATAAGCCATTAATAAACTTAAACTAGAAAATGTGTGTGTGTGTGTATGCTTCATGTATGTATTGATATAACCATTCCATTGTTACGTCTCTGGTCGTTAGTTAATTTTCCGTAAAAATTATTTCCGAAAAAACTGGTTTATTCTTTCTGAATACAACATTGCAACACACTTAATTTCCACAGTCACGCTATGATTCACAATGAACGACTCACGTGCTCGACTCAATTGTCAGTCTCTCTCTGTCTGCAATTCAATTACATTACATTGTTGCCGTCAATTCTTACCGGTCTTATATATACAAGAATACCGCATACCTAGTAACCTCTCGAGATTTCAGGAAGAGACGAGAACGTTCGAGAATATGACGTGTTACTAGAGTCATGTGACCCCCGTTGTCGTAACACCATATTGAATAATGGCGCACATTTAAACGTCTTTTTTTATGTTGCTTTGAGTGAGATGATGAACCAAAAAAGTTATCTCAAAATTATAATTTACAAAATGAGGCTTGAAACTATACTGACTTTGGCTAGTTTAGTATTATAGAAAAAAAAAAAAAAAAAAAAAACGCATGGCAAATGGAACAGGTCACATGTACCTTGACGCAGAATCTAATTCGTACAGTCGATCTTTTTCAACGGCAAAAACTTCCCTACCTGGCAGACTGAAATGTTCAGAAACGTCATTATCGAAATTCTCTTCGTTTAACTTACCTAAACACCAAGCTCTACATCTAAAATCTGTAGAAGCTCAAACGTATATTTGAAAAAAAAAATGTGTCTTCTAATCTACCCGCGCCAGCAGTGGAATCAACTGTCTGACTTCATCGTCTTAGTATGCTTTTGAATCTCTAAATTAGAAATATTAGCAATCAATCTTTTTTATATTTTGAGACATATTGGTGAAAATGATTTCATGAGGCTCACTTATAGTCATGACAACCATAAAATTAAGTGTAAAGAACTAACCATATACATTGGGTGAGATCACTCATCTTCTTTTTAAAATACATAAAGAACCCCAAGTGTAAATTATAAATAACTAATGGGTTTAATATGTATTTAAACGTTTGCAATATTGATAGTATTTCTATTTACCTTTTTTGTATGCCTTGTATATTAGAAACCCTGTAACAAACAAAATCACAAACCACAAGCAATTTGATGAATAATTGTTTTTGAAATTTTTTTTGAAAGGTGAATACTGTATAGATTGGTAATTCTGGCATTAAAGAAAATAGTCTAATTCATTTACAAATCTATCATAGAGAACAGAATGTTATCAAGTGACACTGCAAAAAACTTTATTCTTTCATCAAGTAAAACACTTCCTATATGAATTAGCATTTTTGTTGATTAGATATTAGACAAAAAACTAACCCACAGCTAAAACTCCAGTCACAAGTTTCTATAGCCATATTCAATTTTTATTTTTAAATTTGTGCATGAAAAATACAGTTATATTAAACTTGAAGATAGCTTTTATATGTGGAAACATCTGTTAGCTGAGTTGTTGCACAGATCTTAAAATATAACGTTGATAAACGGAAACATCGGAACATGTATTTCGTTGGTTTCCATGAAAAATAACTATTCATCAATATTACCAGACCTGCTGTTTACTTTTGCTATGTAGACGACACATTTGCTATTTTTAAAACTGAACAGGAATGTGAGTGTTTCTTACAAGACCTAAACTCGTTGCACTCGGCTCTCAAATTTACTTTTGAAAAAAGAACAACATAACTTTACCGTTCCTAGACGTCTTAGTTGAAAAAGATGACTTTCAATACTGGTGAGAAAAAAAGGTAGGTTTTCTGTATAGTGGCACGAGAATTTATAAATAACCATACTTTTCTGTGTGGTAGGTATCGCATCTTTGTGTGTTGCAGGCAACAGCTTACGTGTGGAATAAGCACAGTAGGGTTTCACTGCAGGAAAACATTTAGTAATGGCCGTTTTCAATTGTTTTTAAAATTTTGTTGAAATGTTACCAATCCATGGTAGGTTTAGGTAAATAGGACACTTATTAGGACCAAATTTTGGGGCAGTTGAGAAGCTCGCAACTTTCCTTGAAGTAATTTGATTTATGACAATTTCTGGATACCTATTTTCTAGTAAAATAGTTTTAATTGGCTTCAATTCAAAATCTAGTTTAGAATTTGAACAGATAACTAGAGCCCGATGGACTAAAGTAGCAATAAGGTTCGTTTTGCGACTTTTAGGACTGAAAGGATCCCATCGTGTGTATTGTCCTGTCATGTCAGTACGTAGGTCACACTTCACAAAGACTGCAGGACAGAATTAAACAACATGTACCCACATCCATAAGAAATAAAAGTGTGAAAGAAAAGAATTTACCATGTCGCTCTTGTAAAACAAAAGTTCTACCACCAAAATGTGAATCAGCGATTGGCCAGCATTTACTAGTACACCCCTGACAACTACATGGATAGCAGGTTTAAAATTATTGCAAATGGTCTGTCAACCTTTCATCTCTATATTTTGGAAGCCACCTTTATTAAAACACATAAACCTGTCCTTTGCCGCCAAAAAGAATTCCTATACAATCTACACATCCTTCAGTATGTCTGTGACATTTCCTGATTGGCTTAAGGACTTACCGGCCTACGTTGATCTGACTGTACTATTTCCTATAGATCATTTTCCAGACAGTTCTGCTATGATTAGTGTCTGGCGAGAAGCTTCAGCAGATATTTCCTTTGCAACATCTCAACCAACAATTAGTCCAGTTAACAACGCTATTTTCAAGTTTTGAACATCTCGACTTTCAAGATCTACATGTGTCAATGTTTCCGTTTATCAACGTTATATTTTAAAATCTGTGAAAGAACTCAGCTAACAGATGTTTCCGCATATAAAAGCTATCTTCAATATAGACATATAAGAAAGGAAGTTTGATTAGGGTTGATGTGGGTTATACATTTGTAAATATCGTAGCTTGTGTTTTGTAATTACGATAAGTATTTTGATTTTAAAATATCCTGACCATGTAAATAAGTATTGCAAGACATTCCAAAATTTCACATATATTAATATTATAGGTTGTGATTTCATTTTTATAGGATGAATTGTTATCTTAAAAGTTATTATACCATCAAACATTTCAAGAAAATGATCTCGAAAATCTCATTTTGTAAATGCTGTACGCCCAAAACAAAAAATGTATGTCGAGTTTTAGGTGAACCGTGCAAGCGTTAACATGTTTGGTATTTTTTGTGAATTTTTTTTGATGTAATTTTTCACAAGCAATTCTGTTTTGACTTGTGAGCTGTGAAGAGGAAATAAATAAGACATTAAAATATTATTATAAGTGAAACACTGCTCTTGCAAGAAAGCAGAAAACTATCATTTATTATTGTAATGATTTAGTATTAGCTTTCCATTGAAGCGTGCACACAATTTGTAGCCCATACTTCTATCACTAATATAAAAACTCATTATTATGTCAATGAAGTTTTGAATAAGATAAACTAATATGTAAATATAAAACAATAGTTGTGAAAATAATCATAATCATAATATACATGAGCGTTTTGGAAAGTCAAGTAAGAATTCAAAAATTTATGAAGATCCTGAAAGATAGATGTGCAAACTTGTTAAATAAGTTAGTAATATGATAACAATGTTAGTTTGCAGCTTTTTAAAATCATAATTGTAATACTTTTTTAAAACATTTCTAAAACTGTTTCAGCGATTTATATCCATTAATAATTGAAGTTGTTTAAGAGAGTTGCATAAAGTGACAATATGTTAACTGATAGAAGATTTAGACTGTGTATCTGCAATGTCGGATGAAGTTTATTTATGGGCAACAATAGTCTGTGGTAGTAACAATTGATTCATAGCGACTTTTTGGGTAACTTCCGTTTCCCGTCTTCCATAAAGAAACTTCATCAGACATGTCAATATGCTAGTTTTAAAGTATATTTGAATTTATCTAGTAAACTCATGTCTTAAAATACTACGGATTATTGTATTCTAACGGCTTCATTAAAATATTACTCGATTAATTTGAAATAGGCAGTATGATGAAATAAATAGGATCTCTCATTTCTCTGTGACTGAGAGTAAATACTGCCTTAAATCTGACTAACATACCAACCTTTTACTGTCTCTCTAGTGCTAACACTACACAGGGAAATGGGGGAGGCAGGACTAAAAGAGAACAGAGAATGAAAAGGTGAGACTTAGTCCTCTTTATTCCCTATTCCCTCTGTGCCTGTGAGAGACCTCACGGCTAAGCCTAAATACGAGGGCTTTGAAAATTTTGCAATACTTATTATCGTCTAAAATTTAATAAAAAAGCTAACAAGTTGAAACTAATTTTATATCTAAAACTTGCTAATAAGTTTTTACTGAATTTTACTTATAAAACTCAATGACAGAACTTATTGCCAAATTTATGGTTTCTGTGTGGTCGGGACTTTACCTAGCTCATTAGCCCAATGCCTTCTTTATTTAACTATAAAAGAAGGCTTTCAGTAGATTATAACACATTCTTGTACATTGGATGAGGTATGTTTATGATTTTTCTGTGGTTTTAACTCTGAACTTGAGCAAGAATGTTTTAAAACTTATGAACAACATTCACTTCATTATTGCAAATCGACTGGGTTGGACACCTTTATTTATAGGAAACCAACGCACTCAGAACAACATGTAGAATAGGAACCCGCACACCTTCCACAATGGAAATTTGTAACCCTAAAATGTTTAATTGAAATTATACTTAACATATGTATATTCAACATTTTAAGCAATGCATTAAGGATAATATCTGAAATTTTCATTCATAAGAATAAGGGAAACCTAAACAAAACAATCACTTGATATTGAATCCAACAAAACAACAACAACAACAACAAAAAAACAAAAACAAACAATACAACAACATTACTTTGAGGAAAAGATAAACAATTTTAAGTTTCACTAATATCTTATTTATTACTATCACGGTTTTGCTAGTAAAGGCTTCACTGGTAAAGGGGCCTCATCCTTAATTGGCGAAACCATGGTCGTAATAAATAAAATATTTGTGAGACTTACAATTGCCTTTGTTTTACTTAATTCTGTAATTATGGAGTTTCACCAAGTACCGTTGGTATCAAATATTAATTACATAACGCATTACTTTACCACAAGCACTGTCTCTTTCATTAAGTATGTCAGCGACCTTTTCGAAATGGGGAAACATCTCATTAAAAAAAACACAAGATTAACGTCAACTCATAAATCGTAAAAAAAGGAAAAAACAAAAGGAAAAATTAGAAATATCATTGGAAGAAATTATTCCAAATCAAAGAATGTTGTTGTTTTTTAGCGCAAAGCTACATACTGGGCTATCTGATCTTTGACAACTGCAGGGAAATGAACCTTGCATTTTAACACTGTAATTCCGCAAACTTATTGCTGACCCACCAGGGAACAGAAGCAGAAGAATAATTTACGAAAGCAAGTCTGATAAACTGGAAGAAAATTGAACACGTAGATCGGAGAAGGACCGTCTTATGTTTTTGATCATTTAAAAGAAATCAAACACTTCATATTTGAAAACAATATTACAATTCTACGAAGCGACAGTGGTTTAAAACAGAAAACAAAAAAACACGCAGAAGCATTACTGGTGAAGAATTTAAAACCTTCTTTGAACAATTATTTTGGGGCTCCTCCCCATCGTTAACTAAGTCAACCAATATAATTTTGTACTATATGTTTTATCTTTTTTTTTAAGGTTCTTATAAATAATTTGTACCCTTTATTCAGTACTTATAACTCAACATGTGCACTGCAGGGAATAACCGTTAGATTCTGAAATTGATGTTAGTCATACATAGCCTGGAGATAGCTTGTACTTGTGGTCTCAAACGTCGTAGTATCATTTGAATAATATAAACTTCTCCACTGCGAAGCTGTTACCGATAGTAAATTTATTAACCCAGTGTGATTTTTGTCTGATAATACAAAAGTGTTGTTTTGGTTTACTTGTTACGTTTGTACTGGAGATAGCTTGTACTTGTGGTCTCAAACGTCGTAGTATCATTTGAATAATATAAACTTCTCCACTGCGAAGCTGTTACCGATAGTAAATTTATTAACCCAGTGTGATTTTTGTCTGATAATACAAAAGTGTTGTTTT